GGGTCGTTTTAAATTCCTTACATGAGAGGTAGATGCGAAGAAGTCGTGGCACATATTGTAATAGAACAAAAAGGTTCATGATAACCATCCTTATTGTGTTCAAAGATCTCAAGTCCCTCATTTTTGAAAAGAAAATGAGAATTGCTACCTGGATAACATTAATAATACAAAGAGTTAAAATCTAATTATGCTGAGTAAAATAGTAAATCATTAATTAAGATATTAAGTTGCCTTAATTTCATATGTTTTTTCGTCTATGAAAACAATAATTCCAAGACAGGGCTGGCTTCTCTTACTTGTGGAAGCGGAAGAATAGCCAAAATGTCAATTAAGATAACATATGACCCCAACATTGTCTTAGCTATTGCTACCAAAGATTTGCTCCAAAATGTTATTTTAGGGCGGATTCTTTGACGATATCCATAATTTTCTTTTTCCATCCACACATCGTCGTAACCCAGGGGGTCTCTGGCATCTTTAGAAGGTAATAACGGGTGTTGTCTGCCACGATACTCAACAATTAAACCCGAAAAGTTGTCAGATGTGTATAAACTTGAACAATAATGTCAAATATATAGAAAAGATTAGTGAATGGTCTTAAGAGAAGAGCGGCCGTCTTCAAGTTTCTGTCAGATTGCAGGCAGTTGATGTCGTCCTTCATCATAGGAACGTAGAGAAACAATGGATCCAGCAGAACAGCAAACAAACATGATGCTACAAATATCTTCTTCCACTTTTGAAGGAAAGACTCCCGATTACTGGATAAAAAAATAACAACAAATTAATGTAAAATTGGTCCTATCAGATAGAAGAAGGAACAAGTTAAGGAGTCATTTTAAGTTGGGAAACAATTGTATAAAGGAGACCCAAAAATTAAGTTGTTCCCAAAGCAACATATAAAACTAAGATATCCCTCAAATTAATATGCAGAAATATAAAAGGCTTTCTACAAGGTGGAACAGCCACCGCAGATATACAAGTCATGTGTTTCATACCACATTTATTTAAAGGGAACAAGAAAATGCATATAAATAGTTTTGAAGTTAAAGAAATCAAACCGTGCAGTAGCTCTTTCTTCCGGCATCTCCACAACTAAACTTATATCGGGGTTGGCCATAACTCCAAGTTCGGGATACAGAAATTATGCGTATGGGATCAACTAAACACATAAATCATAGGAGGAGCAAGAAAGGGGGGAATTTGGACAAGGCTGAGAGTGGCAGAAATATGAAAAAAAGTGTAGAACATAATATATTGGGATATCTGGCCAACATAGTGACATATACAGCTTAAAAATAATGGCTTAGCTTGGAAAGACTGGTACGGTCGGTCAACATCCAAGGCTGGCCCCTGAATACAGAGGAGTCTAAAATTCATGGAGAACAGTGGTGAAGCCCACTAGACCACGTGAAGACTGGCCTCTTTTTTGTTTTCTTTAATGCAGTGCCAGGCCCGTCACTGTACAATTATCGGGCACGTACTTTGTTTCTCTCATTAGCGAAGGGTCCTGGTCATTGGACTCTTTCAATTGAAGGCAAATGTGGAAGAAAGGAAAGACTATTAGACTATTAGACTATTATGGAAAATTCCATGCACGCGGTATCTAGACTTTTGAACATTCCATGCACGCGGTATCTAGACTTTCATTTTGAAAAGTAGTAAGGGCGTTATGGGTAATATGAAAAATTCATTAAACCCCCCGCATGCTTATCTGCGCAGCAGTTTTTAGAAGCATCCTCTCACCTGCTTCGAAAAACTACCGTGAGAAACCCGTAATTTTGAAAAAAACATACTATTCTTGTTTTACCAAAAACATCAAATGTTCAAAAACTTTAAAAAGAAGCGCAGCAATCCCGAACCAAGCCCAAGTCATCTAGACACAAATGAAAGACAAAACAAAAAAAAAAAAAAAGATTCCAGACATTACAGATTTGCTGGTTGCTACTTGATCAAAACCTTAAAATGAAATAATAATAATAATAATAGTATAATAAATTAATAATAAACCTCATGTGCAACATGCAGTTTTCTATTTTATGTTAACTTCACGATCGCGACTGCAGTTGACAATTTAACCAAACTTCTAGTTCTAGTCGTTTTGATAACAATTTGATCAAAATTTTAATCTCTTTTAAGATTACGAATTTGGATTTCTGTGGATAATAGATCATTTATCATTCGGATCCAGCAATTATCTATGTAATTTGTTTATAAGAAGTCCTGATGCAACAGTGAAAGGCAAGTTCGTAGTTGATCGAATTGGTGTATGTAGCCATGAGGAATGCTAGCAACCTTCTCTCTAACCTTTTCCTTTGGACCTTCTCCCTTTCTTGTTTGACATGTGTCATTCTCCTTAAACTTAAAACAATGTCATTAATATATTATACAAGCTAACTTTTGCTTTCCAAGTTTACCATTATTATATGTATTCAATTTATCCAAAAAAATTTCACAACTTTCTTACCATCTTATTAATTTTTTTTAACGTCAATTTTTTTTTATATAAAGAAAATGTCTGTTTTTATAAAAAAAGAGGAAATGTCCCTTTTTTTTAACGTCAAGTTTAGATTTTTTTTTTTTCTATCTAAACCTTTTGTGTTTAAAAAAAAAAGGACATTTCCTCTTTTTTTAAAAAGCAGATATTTTCTTTAAAAATAATAATAATAAGATGATAAGCAAGAGTGGTGGAATTTAAAAATAAATAAATAAGTCATGACAAAATATTAATATTGAAACTTACATGACTAGCAAGGATGTACATAAAGAAATTCAAGACACCTTTAATCCACAAGGGAGTCTCTCTAATATCTCCTTTAAGAGTTGTGGGAGCAAATATTTTCGTCTCCAATCAGAGCACGCCACGTGGAAAAGAAGATTATCCCTTAAATTAATTAATTAAACCATTTATTGGGATAATTAATTAATCTGGATAATATCTTAATTATATGGTATTATCTCATAATTAATAAAGATAATATCATTAATTGGGATATTATCATAATAAAGGGATATTATCTTATAATTAATGAGATAATATCAATCATTCGGGTATTATCTTATCAAAGGGATAATATCCTAATTATAGGATATTATCTTATAATTAACGAGATAATTCAGATATTATCAAAGTCCGACTCAATCTCTACGAAACCCTAGCCCCGAGGCTCCTATAAATATATGACTTCAGTCATCATTCAAGGTACTTCAAAACCTAGCTCCAAAACCCGAGAAAATACCCGAAGCTCTCTCTCCCTCTCCACTCTCCACT